TTTTGGCTTTAATACTTTAAAGACAACTAAATTTATTTTACATCTATTCATCGTATACACATTTCACTGTTTACAAACTATTGAAGGCAAACGTTTAATGAAAGTTTCTATGCATAGAGAACTACTGTACCAGGCAAAGTTATATTTATGTTCAGAAGCAAAACAAAGGGCCATCTCCACATTTAGTCAAAGGATCAGGGAAACTGAACGAAAGACCTGATCGAAGTGGGGGGTTATGGAAGAAAGGACTCATCTATTCCATTGAACCATACATTACGGTACCCCAAATTTGAAGCCAAATCTGTAAAAATAGCGTTATAATTAATAGAAAATGTAAACGTCATGTAAGGGATTTAGGTATTGCAACAACCTGCTATAAATCTAATCTTTGTAACTGTTTTTTCGCTGCATATTTCAGCTGTAGTAGTGCTGGAGTATGGATGAAGTCTGTTTGTAATTTGAACATCGTTGGTAAATGTAGTTGCATATTTTCCATCTCTATTATTGATAACTTTAGTATAGATTTATAGGATTTGATGTCATATTTAAGGGTTAGAGTTTGTCAACGATGACCTAGAGTTGGTTCTTTGGCTTCTATTAGGATACTGCCAGTGTGGCTGGTGTGAAAGCAACCGGTGCTTATTGGTAGAGCTGTATTGTATATAACAACGTTTTCTAAGATATTTTTTTACTAGCTGAATCATACAATATGTATCCATAGTCAATCTTGGATCGTACTATTTCTTTGCAGGTCATCAGCTGGATATGTTTATCTGCTCCCCAGTTATTATGAGAGATGCACTTTAGTATGTCTAGTCTTTTCTTACATTCCTCAGATAAAAGTTGAATATGCCTTTTCCAGCTCAAAAATATTAGGTTAGCATTTTGACTCAAAAATGTTTTGGTCACATTTTAGCTTATGTAGGTCCATTTTTAGTGTAGGCTAACTCACCATATTTTGTCTGGAGAATACTATACATTGAGTTTTTGAAGCTGAAAATTTGAAACCTGATTTGAGAGACCATTCATGTAGATTGTTTAGGGCAGATTGTACAATTTCTTGACTGGTTGTAATAGATGTTCCTCTGCAGAGAATGGTGATGTCATCTGCATACTTCCTTATGATTACCGGTTGACTGATTTTAGAGTCTGCGTCGTTAATGTCCAACAGGAATAGAGTAACACTAAGTACTACAACTTGTGGTAGTCCCTTCTCCAGGTGTACTGGTGATAGGCTACCATTAGTTCTCACATTAAAAGTTCTTTCTTTGGTGAAATTCTTGATGAATTTAAAACTGTTGCCTTTAAGTCCACATTCCTGTAATTTTGTCATTATTCAATGGGTACAGACCATGTCAAGGCTTACTGCTAAAACATGTTTGATAGCAAGGGCTTCTTGGATGTACGTATCAATACTTACTAGGAGAGAGGTAGTTGAATGTCCTGCTCTGAAACCAAATTTATTGTTGGATATAATATTTTAAAGTCCAGAAACCATCTTGAGTCTTAATTATTTTTCCATAATTTTGCACATATTGCATGTTAAAGAAATGGGGCTGTAATCTTCATTTTTAAAGCGGTCTTACCCAGTCTTTGGAATAGGTATAACAATAGCTGATCTCCATAGTTCAGGAAATATATTTTTATCCCTTATTATGTTACACATTTTCAGTAAAGTTTGTTTTCCTTCTAGGGATAGATTTTTTAAAAGGATGTATGGAATATTGTCTGGTCCAGGTGAGGAGTTCCTAGTCCTGTTGGTAGCTGAATTAATTCCAATAGGATCATTGTCGGTAACAAGTTGCCAAGTCTTCGTTATTTGTAAACTCTAAGGTTCTATTGTTCTTTTTTGTGCTGTAAGAAGGCTTACATTTTGTTGTTAGCGGTATCAAGAATGTGATTTGCAAAATGTGTATGCCGTACGAGTGAGCAGCCGCTGTTGGTTCGCGTTAATGTAAGTTAATATTTTTTACGGGTAAAATACGCATTGCGCATCGTTGGTTCATTTATGTAGAACGTCAATATATTGAACTCAATGGCAGGAAGCACTTAACGTGTAAACGTTTGAATTAAAACTTATTTTCCGCGCTTAGTTTGTTTAATTTTACTTGTGTTACATTTTTTTACATTAAATACATTTTACATAATTTTTTTTCTGCTCTTAACTGCAGAAAATTGGTCGATGCTGTCTTCAAAACGAAGATTTTTCAGCTTATGTTTTGAAATTGTACATTTTGTTACACAGTAGACTACTTGATTAATAATTATTTCACAGACAAAAAATATGGTAAGCGTATTTTTCCGAAACGCGGGGCCCCTGGTGAATGGGGACCCCCAAGCAACTGCTTGTTTTGCTTGTAGGTAAATTCGGCCCTGCTATGAAGTGTAAGCCGAATGCCGACATCATTGTCGAGACTAACCGAGAATGAGCGGTTCGAATAGTTATCCTAGGATTAGGACTCCATGGACACGCGCGCGCCACCTTCGAGGCTGCGGAGGCAAGATCTCCCTCCCGCTCCATTGACAATGCTTTCTCTATTCTGCATATGCAGTGCGACACGTGCCAATGTTGTCGAAGACTGCTGCAAAGGGTAGCTGCCTCAGAAAATGGGCTTAACAGGCTTATTTTAAATCTCTGTAGTAGATTATTACGCTCCAAAAAGGAAGATTAAAGTTTTGTAAACATTTGGTAATATACTTCATTGTATGAATTTTTGCCCGTAGGAAAAGTTCCGGGCGACCAGAAAATTATCCCAAGGAGGCGGAGATTGTACGCTGTTTTATTATTATATTTCCTAAAGAATTTATTCAAAAACATGTAAAATCAGCATTTTATGACCGTGACTAAGGTGTACCAATTTTTGGACGACAGAGAGTAAGTTTTTTTAATCAACGAGATAATTCTAAAAGTTAGTTTTCTTTGCAATTTGCGTTGTAGCTCTTGTAAGCAGGGATACCCTTCGTACCTACACCTTATACCCACAGGCGCGATTCAAGACGTATGAAGCACGGGCAGCGTCACGGCAAGGAAAGTGAGAGATAATGTTATTACAAAATATTTCGTGCATCTCCATAGTGCCAAACATTCTATTCACACCGTCCCAGAGGCCGTCAGCTCAGAGCTACAAAAGGAATACAGGACGAGCAGAAGGGGTGACCCTGAGGAAGCCACTAAAGTGACGCGCTGAGGGTTGCGAAAGAGCGACATTCACTTTCAGAATTCCGGCCGCATTATCGTGCGCTTTGCGTCGGTGTGTCAAGTTTTAACTTGCACATTATCGCTTGGTAACAAAGTGACAGCATATTAACGCGGAAAATGCATTCTATGGCGCGTCGGAGGTTAGGAATGAAGTACGGTCTCTTCTGGTGACAGTGATGCCAAACGTGGCGATATTCTGCTGTACTGTATGAATCGAAAGTTAAGCGCTAGATTGTGACAAAATCCGCAACGGGGCGAGGCGCTAGTTTAGCACTAAGTAGTTGGTCTCTAACCTTCCCAAATTTATGAAAGCGTATTTTTTCCCCTTTCCTCAAATTTAAAACATCCGACGAGACTCCGATACGCAGCAAATGTTTCTTGTTAAGATTATCACGTCCTTTGTGCTTTGAAAAGTCTTAAGAAATCATGAAATATTAATTTTTGAAGTGCACCAATATTTCAGTACAATATCCTAAATATCTTTGGATTACCTGTATGATTTTTGTTTTGATTTTAAAATTTCAAAACTACGGCGAGTTTCAAACTTTCTTTTTGCAGAACTGGCACCATCAAGAATAATATGCTTGCGTAAAAACTCGCGGTGCATCAACAGCACATAATTTTTCACATTAGAAATAGTTCCGTAATATTTGAATATTGGAATATCTACCATATAGCAGCTATAATTCGAATTCAAGGCATACGAAGCACCTCTGGTGCATATCTCTATTTATTTAGATTATCAGGTACTGCCGCCATAAATTTTACAAATGACACAAACATTAATAAATTTAACTATTAAGGGTATTTACTGCACATTCTACAGAACAGTAAGGATAATATTAGGAGAATTTCTGAATACCATAATCACCGGTCAAAGCAGCTTAAAGTAAAGAAGGGTGTGTGTGTGTGTGTGTGTGTGTGTGTGTTCTAAGATAAATTTATTACCTTCCTTCAATCTAATTCGTAAGAATATTATCCACATAATACTACCATTACGACCGGCAACAATGGGAAGGCCTGGAACAATTCTGAAACCAATGTAACCATTTTGCGAAGCGGCTGCGCGACAAAGTGCGCGAAATTCTAATTTACAACTACAAAATTTCTTGCAATTTTCGGAAATACAGAGAGGTGCCGAAAACGGGATTATGACCACTATCTTTACAGTTCTTTGTCACACACGAGGAAGGAAAAAAAAGAAAGAAAAACAAAATTTGGAGTTTACAAGAAAAGAATTGTTGAATTACTTAAAAAATGCCTTTCTTTAAAACAAAATTACCCAAACATTACTAGTATTTTCGAAAAATTCAACATGAAATTATCTAAAGATCTGATTTTTCTAAAAAGATTACACTGAGAAAAAATTCTATATTTTTAATTAAAGTTTATGATGAAGACAAAATAATCAAATTTTTGCAATTTTGGAACATTCAGGGAATTTAAAGAGATATGAGACCTACATCATTCTATTAAGCGTCCTTTACATTATCTAAGGACAAAATTTAAGGAAGCTAATGATGCACCACCAGTAATTTCTCGCCGGTACTTTGACGCAAAATTGTGACGCAGTGAATTAAAGAGAAATATGCATGGCAATAGTGAATTAGGATATCAATCTTAAAGAGAAGTCATTCAAAATAAGTCCCAAATAGAAAAACTGAACGAACAGTTTATGAAGTTCGGAGAATTTTTCAGACAATCTTAGCATTGAGCAACTACTGCATTATTACGTACATCATTTTGTGTCAATTCATAAAGGGAACGCGCAGTTACACTATATTTACAGAATCTTACAATCATGCGCGTTCTTGATACCACGAGAAAGGATTACTTCGAAAGAACACAATATGGGAAGCAAACAGAACGAGCAGTTTGTAAAAGAACTACGGAAACAGTGCTGCAATTGCAACCCAGCACTCCGTGTGGAATGTATGACTAAATGGCACAACTAAAATCTTTATTATAATATGTTATTATTCATTAACCAAAATAATGATATTCTAAAGTTACAGATCTCGGAAATGTTTATTACGAACTGAAAAGGGAAATGGTCTTTAACAAATATTAATTTGGACTGGCTTCGATGAATTTAGAGTATCTTAGGAAAAGTAGTTGTTAAGTACACAATGATGTTGCTTCTGATTACAGGTGTTGAAAGACGTTGGCTTGTGTGTAGCCATTTTTGACATCTTGGAAATTCAAGAATCTTTTCTTCTTCCTGGAGATGGAGCCGCCCACACAACAGTGCGATTTCGAGTGGCAGTTTTCAGACCTTTTGAAGATGAGGTGCTCACAGGAAAAGTAAAGAAATGCACCTCGGAAGGAGCAAAAGGTACGTTTCTCGAGATAGAACTGAAAAATTTCGTCAATTTCAAATGAGAACCATTTTGTGGGATATTTGCCATGAGTAAAAAAAAAGTATAGGAGTGTATTTCAAGCAATCTCAATAAAAAAGGGTATTGAAAACCTCGGAATCAAAGTATTAACACGTGGGTAGTTCACGTACTTCTGTTGAATACAGCCTAAGGAAATTGTAAGAGAAGATTAATATAAAACCTCTTTTCTGGTTGCTTGAGAAGAATTCTTATCCCCAATTTCAATCATCTTTGAAACAAAATGTTTAATGAAAATAAAAATCACATCGGAGCCCTACAAAAATACTTTTGAAAAGAAAAGGTTTAATTAAAATTAAGCAATATTCAGGAATTTAATTAAATGACTAGCTATTTAAATCGTGTACAGTCCATTCCGGTTATAGTGAGCTTCTGGGGACTAACATTTTTTGTCTACTATTTCGATGTTAAAATTAAACAGGATTCCTCCACAACGACACATCAGATTAATTATACAGATACAGCAATATTTATTTGACCTTAAAATCAATTATTTTCAATTGTTTCTACTTGATTCTGCGTTGTCCACCGTCTCTAGGTATTGAAATGCACTTGACATCCTTCGATGCCTCCTCGAAGGCTTTCCTCCCCTAATTGCACTAGATCCTTCCGGCAGCGGCACGGAGCAAGCGGCCAATGACACGGTTCGCTTTTTCGTGTGGAGCAGCGGTCGAAGCCAGGCTCGGGGCCGACAGTCGCGCGCCTTGTCATGCGGAATCTCAAGAAACATCGAGCTTCAAACTGAAGCGAGCAGCCGCAGCTAACGCAGGACAGGACCTTTGATTCTGCAGTGAAACTTAGTGGCAAAAGGTCATCAGTAAAGTCCCCAATCCGCTCCACCTCAGGGAAGACTTCTTCGAGTATGACCTTTGGCCGACGATATTTTTTCCAAGCTGCTCAAGTTCACTATAACCTAATCTTTTTGTGCTTATTTGTAAAGTAGTGAAACGAACTACTGATAAGTGCACTAAAACCGACCACTACATCAGAGTTCACTATAACCGGAGTGTACAGAGTGTATAAGAGTTTTTAAGTCTCTTGTAGTGGTCCCTAGTTTCGTATTTGTTAGGGTATAGACTACTGAGAAAAAAATTACAGTACAGACCTCACAATAAAACTGCATTGTATTTCAGTGACTCTCGGATTCTTTGATGATATACTAATTCCCCCGTCAAATCTTCAGCAACCTGCAAGGTATGACGAAGTAGAAGAGGCGTGGATATGGGAGTACGAAACTGAAGATGGCAAGCACGACTTGTTCATGGACATAGGTACATTAAACTGCTTATACTTACATCAAATAATTCTCAATGTCTAATGTGGACTAATTTTCAGGTGAACCAATTCGTTTCCGCGTGCTAAAAAACACCTTCATTGAAACAAGCCCAGTAGAGCACTCTGCTAAAAGTCAAGAGGCGGCCAAGGCCGACGAGAGCCTTCCCTGTCCGTATACAGTCACGGTAAATATTTTTATCTTTGGGTTATCCGCATCTGTCCTCTTGGATCAACGAACAATTTCACACTTCTCCACCCAAGAATATTATCTAACCACAGCACAGAGGGCTAAATGGCGAATCTAGACGGAACCAGCCATACATCTATTGATTTAAATGATGTATTGGTATGGAATGGGATATTAGGGTTGTGAAACTGCCCCTATTAAATACACTTCATTTTACCCATTAATGTTTCTTGTTAATAATAATTTTTTTTAAATGTGAAGAACACTGAAATTTTAAATAAATTCTTATTGTGAAAGTTCTTGATTGCCCTTTTTCAATGCCCCTTTTCAACAATAGTCCGTTTTATTCATAATATTAATAATAATAAAAATATTTGATTTTATCCATTTGGAATATAATAATTCAAGATAAGACTATTGACACAAAGTACCGTATGAAAAAGCTCATTACGAAAATTATTAGCAAGCCAGAATTGCACTGAACACACAACACGAAGGTTCTGATTAGCCATTCCTACAGAAAACCGATCTGATGGCAAGTTTCGCAAACAATTTTCAAAATTAAACAATCCATTATTCCTAAAAGGTGAACGTAACGAAAAAGGTTGTAAGGGACTAAATTAGAGGCCATTTTTTGGAGAATATTTGGGAAAAGGCTAATTGCATAAATTCCATAGTTTCTTCGGTACAGGCAAAAAAAGGAAAATGTTATTTTCATGTTTTTTTGCTGTAACTCAAATTCTAAAGGAAATATTGTTTGCTAACTGCAGATTCGTAATCAGCACCCCTAAAAAACAAAGAAGCAAAAAACTACTCCACAATTTGTTAAACAGCAAACTACGTAATGGCTGAACTAATTGTAAGATACTGTGAAGACATGGCTGCCATTAAAAACTAATGGTGCTACAGAATGACACAGACTTTGGCGTATTAGTTTCCATTTCCTTTGGTATCTACCATCTATCGCCCTATCGCCGCCCAACGTTCATTAATTTTTTTTTCGATTTCCTAATAGAAGAACGAAAATATTTCTATGAATATTAATAAACAGAAAATCCTGACCCTAATTTGCTATGACCCTTGCAAATTTGGGGAAGTTAAAAAAAATTTGGTTTAAGAGCTCCTGTAAATTCGAAATTGCAAACTCTTTTCCACAGAACTTTTTTTGAGTTTTTGAAGTAATTTGAAGTACTTTAAATCAAAAATCCTATAGTCTTTACAAATTGCTAGAAATATGCATATTATCGGCGTGTGAAATCTTTCAAAAACATTACCTAAAGTTTAAAGAATATTTTTCAAAATCTCAAAGCCTCGGCTCAAGCAAGATGGACAGGGGTTTCTTCAATTTGGAAAAAAACCTACGCATAAAGTAGGCGCTAGTAATGTTCACGGACTGACAGATACACAGATTCGTCCTTTAATTTAATTTTCTTACGAATGTTTACTTTGCAAAGCACTTAAGACCAAATTAACTATTACATACATGAATTAAATTTGAATTTAATACTAAATTAAAAAATCCAGTTTTCATTTGAAGCTTCTTAAACAATAGATCGACATTCGATACCTGTCTTTCCCAAGAAGCAAACGAAAATGTTCAGTTTCAATAAAGGATGAAAGGGATTAGACCATTTCCCCTCCCTTTCTTCCAAAAACAAATTGAAAACGCTGATCGGCTTCCCCCATGATTCCAAAAATCAATCTCCGTCACAATTGTGTTAATCTCCAAGTAATGTGATGTGTGGAATAAGACTTCAGTGTTAAGGTTACTTTTCCCGCAAGGGATAAATAAAGTTTTTGTGAAAATAAAGCAGTAGATACGGTACGGCAAACCTAATTTTGATTCACATTTATGACACGCAGATCTGAAATTTCTTTCCCTATCACCTTAGTGTATGTCGGTGATGAAAAATGGTCGACCGTTATAACTGAAGACTGTCAAATCAGAGACACCCCAAGACAATTAAATTTTGTAACTTATAAATAGAAAATCCATCTCGAAAGAATCTTAACATTTAATACATTTAAATGAAAATATAATTTGGTTTGTTTGCGGTACACATGTACCCAGGAAGTAGTTTGACATTGATGACCGAATCTGTGACAATATACAGCAGTACCTGATGCCGATGGGATCCTTGGGATAAACTGCACGAACCACCTGCTAGTCTAATTAGGATCTTGTAATAATCACTTGAGTGAATTCATTAAAAGTCGTCGACTAACAAAACTACAATCTCCCGTTCAAGTCTCTATTCCAAGTCGATTTAGTTCCGGCTCCATAAAATACAACCTAGATCCCCACGTATTAAAAATATGATGCATTTTTGAACTTTGTCTTTCAAGAGAATCCAAAAAAATCTTAATTTTTTTATCAGAGCAAAGTACGAAGTACGTTAATAAAAGAGTGCCGTCCAATTTTCCTTAGAATTGTTTTGTAACTTACGAAAATTGCATAAGTTTACTTTTGGCGACTTCCAACAAATATAATTAAGATAGTGGTGCAATACTCGTCGCCTAATTTTTTCATCATCTCAACATTTTTTCTTGAAACTTCTTGAATGGATAGAGCTAAATGCACTAAATAACATGACGTACACTGATTTTCATGCAACCTTTCAGTTTTTCAAAAATTTTACAAATGAATGTTGAAGTACTATTCTAGTATTATGTAACGCCATTTCAAATAACGCCAAAAAGTATAGTAATCGTGCGCCTGGATAAATCCAGTTAAAAAAAACAACAAACTTTTGGGTGTCCTTCATACCGAAAAATCTATTGACGGCAAACCGTCCGTCCGTTTCAGTCCTTACACAATGCTAGCGCATAACCGTTCAACCTATTTTCTCCAAAATTGGTGGTCCCCAATGGTTCTAGCTGATGTCCCGGCCACAGGGATTTGTATATTAATTTTGGGGGGTACTTTACGCAAAAACCCGGACATTTTTAAAATTAAAAAAAATGGCTTCCCATTTTGATGTTTAATGGTGTTTAGTGAATAGTCGTTTAAGAGAATGGTGCAGGTGTCATTTTCGTTGAAATCCACTATTTTTCGAAATTAAAAAAACAAAAACTTCAAAATAGGAGTTAAAGACTGTCTCAGGCAATGTCTGTTGTACAAAATTAGCTCTTTAAAGAAAGGTCAAGTACATAAAAAGTAAAAATCAGGTCAGTTATTTGCAATTGAAATATACGTTTTTTTTCTCAAAAACTGCTCTAAATTTTCTTTAAATTTTCTTCACTGATGTAATAGCAGACGGTAAATAATATGGTGCTGGTCCCATTCTCGCTCTGTTTTTAAAAAAATAACAATTTAAAACTGCAAAATTTAAGAGAGATTTTTGTCTCAGACAAAGCGTGTTGTACAAAATTAGGTCTTCAAAAATCGTATACAACTGTTTCAAAAAACGAGTAGTTTTTGCGTAATTTCTGCTTGAAATTAATGAAATATATTCAGGTGTCACAGCAACTACGGGCCTCGGGAAAATTGAATGAATGATATGATCAATAATTAATTTAATTCTAATTATAAGTTACTATTGAATGTTCCAAAATTAAATGTTCCAATATTCATTCTGTTTTTAAACTCAGTTTTTAGTTTCTCGTATACGTACGAATATACGGGGTAATATGTGTAGTATAGGGAAATTTATGTAATGTTGCGGAAATGCACGTTTTGGGGTCCCCAGATGACAAAACGTTTTTTCTCTGAAAACATCTGTCTGTGGACACTATACTAGCGCCTAAACCATACGTAGAATTTTTTCCAAATCGAAGAAACCACTGTCCATCTGGCTCGAGTCGAAGCTTTGATATTTTGAAAATCACTCTTTAAAACTTGTGTGTACTTTACAAGAAGCCCTCCGCGCAATTAAATTTTCTCAAAAACGGCACCAATTTTTTTCTTTAAATTTCTTTTAAGAATCGAGTAACACACACTTGTAAAGGTTGGAATAGGTCCGATTGTCACGGTTGACTGAATTTTCGAAAATGTTAAAAGTATATTTTTTGTCTGCGTTTTCCTACAACTATAACATTGAAGATAGAGGTTTTTCCTACAAATTAAATCGCTGGTGAGGTAGATACCTTCTGTTATTATAATAAATAACGATGTTGTCTGGCATCAATACTTAGTTAAATTTGTTGTCCATAATTAGTTCTATTATTAGTCTTGTACGTTTTTTGAAATATTAGTAGTTTTCGCGCAATATTGCGGGCAATTTTCTGCATTAAAAAAAAAAAAATTACAAGAACAAGATTTTTTCAAATGCCTCTAAAATTTTTTTTTAAACTTTTGGTAGAAATAATGCTAAAAGTACTCTATAAGATGACAAACGTCAAATTGCTCTATTCTTTTGTTTTTTCAAAAATGTAATTTGACTTGTCTCTCACGTTGTGAATATTTAAATTACCACCAATTTGTTCACATTATTATATTGATGAGACCATGTGCTTTAAATAATGCTATTTAAAGTTTCACGAAAACAAAAGTTTTCTGTGAAAACTAGCTCAAAATTCCGCATTTTCAGAAACGCTCAAATGCCATTTTCTCAAAAACTGCTCCAAATTTTTCCTTCAAACGTTTCGAACGAGTAATTGTTTAATAAGATTTAATTTTGTGGTATTTTGGTTTTTCAAAAATTACACAAATGTAATTTTTTTAAAGATTTCACGCGCCGTTAATCTGCACATATCCAGTATTTGTAAACACTATTGTATTTGTAAGTTAAAGTACTTTAAATTTTGAATTTACAGTAGCGCTTAAAAGCTATTTTCTTACAAAAGGCCCCAAACGTTTAAAGAAAATTGTCGTTTAGGCTGGAGGTTTACTGTTGCATAATCTTCTTAAAATATTAACTATTTAGCGAGCTGAGACCAAAGGAAATAGAAAACTAATACGAGAAAGACTCATTCTGAAGCATCAGTTCTGTAGCATAGTTTGAATCTGTGAACATGAATGTCACTGATAGAATCGATTTTTGTTTCAGGCCAGTATAAGTGAACCAGGTCTAGGATTACTGTCTTGGTGGTCATAGTACCGGTTGAAGACTACTTTCTACGACAGATTACGACGACGCTGCCAAGACAATGGATAATATATTTCAAAGAGGAGCTAAATGATTTTTTTCTATTTATGTTCACTACAGTATACATTTATATTGTGAAATAAAAAAATAATAAAAAACAAAATTATCGCTTCCCAATCAGAAATATCTTCCCTTTTGTTGCATAATTTCACTCCCACTTCCCATTGATCTTAAAGCAAACATAACGAAAAAGTTCCATTTGAATGCCACCATTCATACTAGTGGCAATTACTCTGTTGTACAGTAGCGAGATAAAGGAACAACAAACTGAAGAAACTGGTTTTGGAACCGAACATCGCGACTAAGATGCTACATGCTTCAACAGCAGAACTACGTTTAGACTTCAAATACAAACGGTGTACTTCGTATACAGAAGTACTTCTGTATGACGAAATATGACCCTTAGCAAAGTAATATCTGTAGGAACAACGTATTACGTACGCAGAAAATTGAATGGCGCGAGTTGGATCTCACAATATTTCAATACGGAAAACATCGTCAAAATGCGATCGAAAAATTAAGGAACTAAATTTTTTGAACGAAATTTATTTTTGTTCCTTTGTTCTTTCCTTTTTCTTCTAACTTAATTTGTGACTCACGATTACCATTATTATACAGAACAGGCAACAGAACACACCCTTCGCCCACCCACCCATCATTCGTATGAAGAAAACAACTTATCGAAACATTTTAACAGACGTGGTTTCATTAGTATCCAGGCGTGCCCACACGCCTCAAAAGCAAAATGTTACAAAGTATTTAATCACGCAGATTAACAGAACTCGATTTACACGGGCAGGAAAGTGCAGACACTGTGGAGGCCCCGCTGTCAAGCACGAAGAAAAAACTGTAGGTGGTTATATTTACACAAATACAGTACAGATGCGGAAGCAACATGCGGTCACACACCTTTCACCATTTTCATCACTTTTTTTCATCGTTTTATGCGTGATGACATTTCCAGAAATAAAACGTTTTGCTGCGTAAGGCTACGGGGCCCTTTTCAAATCTTACAGGGGTACGCCCCTCCCACCTTGCCCGCCCAATGCTCACACTTTTGGCGGGAATATTTTTGCTGAGCAGCACTGATCCAAGATCGCACAAGTGCCTACTTTTTGTAAACTTATTTTTACAGAGCATACGTACATCAGTACTTTTAATGCAGCTTGCTCGAGCTACTCTGTGCGCCTGCCCGATGACGTGACGCGCCGCGCCGCCTTCGCAGGGCTATTTGCGGCCTCTGCCCACGCCCAGTTGCGCCGCCTCGGGGGCTACTCCTGGCGCGGACTACTGTTTCTACTAACACCTAAAGCAAATGGAAGCCCTCTGTGGATTGACCTTCACCTTGAGAGTAGGAACTCACCTGTCAGACCTTAGCCGAAACGGTTTTTGTCTCAATTTACTCTCTGGTATTCATCAGTCGGTGATTCAGAAGTGTACGATACTGAAATATTTGTCCATCAAATGTTACAACGAGGCTTAAAGAAGATGAAACGAGTAAAGAAGAGAGAACATTTTAATTCTCTTGCATAATGAATGCACATCTTTAAGAGAAATGGGAAAGATTGTGAAAAGATCACACACTACAGTGTTTAATGTACCGAGCGTTCAGTCATGTGACCGGTTTTTTGACAGCAATTGTTGCCACACTACAGGGATCGTGCCAAGGGGGCTCGGTCGGTGATTAACACTCAGATATTATTTGCTTTTATTTCACGAACGTTGGCTAACTTCCCTTGGAGCCGTGGAACCACGTCTTGTATCGCCATTCGAAATTTCTATTATGCTATTGTATTCGTAATTTTCCTTTCGTCTTCTGCTCTCTATTCACGAGACAAAAATAAAATTTGACGCCGCGAGTTTTCACTGTCCAATGTGATTTTTTACAAAACTCTTTCGTACTTTATGTAATTCAAAGACTGCTGTGAATTAATGATTTAGCTATTAGCTGAGCTATAGCTGTACTTCAGAGAAAATAGTTTGTACATCGAAAAATTATGTCACGATGTTTCGTATCATTGACGCACCGTAGTTCGAGCTGCCAGTCCGGCGGGCAGCTGGCTGCCTACGTGCTCCGATGAAGTAACTATTTTTTAACGTGTTATTTATTTGCGTCCCACTTTGAAATTTGGCAAACTATGCACCAATTGTTTACAAATGCATGAGTATTTTTTAAAATTTAAGTATAGACCTAAAATGTGAAAATTTCCATTTTAAAAATTAAAATACATTTTTAATATTTAGATAATGTCTACAAAAATAATATTTACATCACATAAAAGTACATCCTTTCAAGTTTAATCGATGTGTAATTATATTTTTCTGAAGGGAACGTTATTTGTGCAAACAAATTTTAAACATTGGCGCGTGAAAAATATTTACGAACAAACTCTGTAATATTTCTGAAAGGGATGGGTTAGAATAAAAGAAAAAAATGTGTCCACCATTTTGAACCCAAGACCTCATACAAAAAGTTTCAAGTTACTAAAAAATAGTGATGTTTTGTGGGTGTGCAAGTGGACGTGGAATGACTCAGAAGTGGACAGCCATAGTTGCTGAATGAATGCGACCCAAGAAAATTTTTCGCAACATTAAAGTATATCCAACACTGAAGTATTCTAAAAGTTTACTGATAAAAGTTAATTTAATATTTTTGGCTCAGTTGGGAGATGTATGGCGCGGAGGAAGAGAAACTAAATTTCACGAAGAGAATCTCCACGCAATCTAGTACTGAGCTGGTTCTGTACTCGGCTAGGGGCGTAAGAGTGCTTATGGTGTGGGAAATATTCACTTCATAAATGGTACAATCGACCATGCAATGTACAACGTTATTGTGCGAAGAAAGCCACACAAAAGTGTCGAAAAAAATGAACAGTGTTTTAAACACAATAATGTGGAACCTTTCTAATACACCACTGTATCTGGATACGCCATTACAATCTCCAGACATTAATCCCACTGAATATTAATGGGATATTTTTGGAGAAACCAAATTACGAACAGATCGATTTTTGTCTTATCGAAAATGTCTTATGTGCGTACTCTAGGAGAATGTTTCAACACTCCTGACACTTACTGTATACATTAGAACTGAGTTCATGTAACTAGTTTTAAAACCTTAATACAACTGTTTCAGTAGCACGTTTTTTGCGCCTTTTTGTATTTATTTTCAGATTTTCCCCCTCTTTAACGACCATAATTGTTTCATAACAATCCTTTCCTTAGTTATTAACATTACACTTTGCCTATTTATTTACGAATCTGTAATATTTGTCAGAAGTGCTTACTTAACGGTGGGAACACATATGCATACAACTGATATTCGTAACACGTAAAATTCACGTTCATCACGTGTGAGTATCAACAGCTCACTATCAGAAATCCACATACAATACATGTACGTTACTTTACAACGCATTGCCCGATGACATTAAACAATTGAAGTCGGTTCACTAATTTAAGTTAAAAGTACAATCCTTTTCTCCTGCATAACTGTTTCTACACAATTAGAGACTATACTGATTATCAAAGAGAAAAATAATGTTTATTTTAACAATACAATGATATATAATACATTTATTTACATTTGTATTTATAAATGTTTTAAAAAGACAATGGTTGAAACAAATAATGCACTTCAGCTTCCGGGTTAATGATCCCCCATGTCGATCAGGTTTTTGTCCAGTTTCCTTGATCCATTGAGAAAATGCTGAGATGGCCCCTTGCTTAATAATTCCTACTCTCTACCCTCTGGCCGTGCCGCCACGACCCCGCCCCCATCCGCGTCTGACGGTCGCTGTCTCCTTGCACACTCACACACACACGCACGCACACGCGCACGCACACACACACGCGCGCGCACACACGCACACGCACACACAAAACCGCAGAACTCAAGTTTTCCGCCAGGATGCTGTAAAGAATCGACAGCCCAGTTTGCTCACTCTTCTGGCATCGGCCCTACTCTGTAAACATTTTGTAAGTAATTTGTCTACTTTACACTAAATTTAATTTTTCATGTATTCCTAAATTTGTTTTTTGATCTATCTGATCGCTATGTAATCGAAAAGATGATACGTTTAAATACATATTTCATACCAGACAACTCCTTTTATTTATTTAATTATTAGAAGGTATCTACATCACCAGCAATCTTATTAACTCCTTTATGACTTTTTTACTCGTCACTTTTTACTTTGAGAATTGTTATAATATAAATTCATAAAATAAATATTATATTAAAAATAATTTTAAAATGTAAAAAAACTTGTAATTATTATGAAGAAATATAGTAATTCTCACCTTTCCTAAATTACTTCTAGGATGAAACAGCCCAGATGCTAACCTCAGGGTAAGCCTCAGGCAGAAATATTACTTTCACCAACCTCACCGTTAGCCCGAGCGCACACTGGGCCACAGCCGCAACAAGCTACAGGGTACGTTTTAAGCCAAGCTCCTTATTTCAATTAAAAAAGCCCACACTCACTTCAGCATTGTTCAATTTCGCATAACTCTGATCGCGGAGCGACGATTTGTGGCCGGGATGACCCACAGGGGCAGCCGCAAGTGGCCGCGACTAGTCACAGATAAAGCAGATTCGCAGTCGGCGAATATAATATTATAGAAATTATAATATATAATACAATATAATAGTAACAGCCTTAAGTGGTCGAATATGCATCTACAGCAGTACGCGCTGAGGAAGGCCACAATACGCTGGCCGAAACGTTAGCCACCATATCAGTGACGCGGCTCGTCCCAGATAACACAAACTCAGGCCGCGGAAGCCTACGTAACCACGAGTATGCATCTAGCCTTACCCTAACATTTGTACTTGTGGAAGTGGCATTGTGCCGACACAGGAAACTATGCACCTGTCGAGTATGTTATCTCCCGCGCCCAACCGGGCACGATGCCGCAGCATAGGCGAACGTTGCTGCCGAAGGTTTCGGAAGGCTCTGAGCCCAGGGCACGCTCTGCAACGGAGCCGCACTGGCCCACTGTATCCCCATGGAAGCTCTGTTTCTGTTCATACGTACATTAATTCCATACCTTATTTATCACATTCTGCAGTATGTGGCCAAATTATGAGAGCCAGTACTCATGCTTGTGTAATTTTTAAGTTTAAAACTTTTTTTAGCAGACTTGGTTTCGATAAGATTTCTAGTATTACTGTTATCATTACTATTGTTTTTAATAAGTGGCAACATTGGATGCCTACATTACTTATTTCTTAAGTGATGTTACTTCTCATTCAGTTTATGTTTATTGAAAACTACTGTTGTAATGAGATCACACAAATTATTTCTTTTACTTTTTTACAACTTTTTTCTTTTCCAAAATAGTTACAATGTAAGTTCCTCACTGCATTACTTTTAATACTTTTTATGACAATTTCATTTTAGTTTACACTAATGTCACCACCTAAGATTTTATTTTTTGTGGGGTATGTCTTCAGACATGTCTCAAAGGAAAATTAGCAAAATACTAACACTAAAACTTCACTCACACATTGTCAGAGATATAGCAATTATTACGGTTGTTTCGAAAATTGTCGTTATCAGAATAAAATTAAAAGGAAAAGGATCACCAGACTTCGTACCGATCGTACAATCAGAAATATCTGCTACAAAAATCGTAAAAAGGGTGGCCCGTCTGACCACATGATGAACACTAAAGGAGTAACAGGTTACAAAAGGACAGTCCGCAGTCAGAACTATTTTATACATTTAGTTACCGACGACGCCCTGGGGAAGAGTTCCATCCAGACTATTAGTGGAGATGTTAAACACTACCAAAGTGTCAAAGAATGGTCTATGATCTCGACGAAGGATGATATATGGTGCGCCTATACATCGTAGAAGGGACCATGAGGCAAGACCAGTACAAACGAGTGAAACTAGAAACTCTGCTACTTTCACAGCTCGAACAATTGTGATTAGCCCGGTGATTAAACCCTGGTTATTAACATTTCTATGCACGATATAGCACAATGCCACAAAGTCAGGAATATTGCTGTATTCCTGGCAGAAAAATACTACCCTTTTCCTCACCGAGAACACACCAGACATAAACCCTAGATACATGTGGGAACTCAGCAAACCGCCGATCGCCAAACAAGTTATCACCACCAAGAGCCAGTTAATTGAAATTCCCGACAAAGAATGGTATCAAACATTCAACTACAACAAAATGCAAAAAAGTCTGCATAGAGAGCGTGCCGCAACGCATTGAAGCTATAATTGCATCAATGATGGCGTTAGAAAACCCTTATTAATTTTATCTAAAACTAGTTTTATCTAAATATGATTTTAATAACACACTCCTACAAATAAAAAATACCGACGAGACCAAAATCCAAATATTTGTTTGAAGATTGCAGTTAAAAATATAAAACACAAAAATCTTAGTTCTGTTCTTAATAATATAGCCACCTACTGTATGTATTACTCGCGCAACTTTTCTTGAACGATGGATTAAAGAAATGCGGGTGGAGTGCGGGTATTAGTTACAAAATCGGCCACTAGATTTTATGAAGCAATGCTAATCTCTGGAGAATCAGTCATGCCTTCGCAACTAACTCAAACATTTGCGTTCTAACTTTTTCAATAGTTCTAGGTATCTCCTGTGATAGATCATCTGCTTCCGTTATTTCTTTACATTTTTGGGAGAAATTAACGGTCAGAAGTCTTAAAAAAAAGTTTCTATTTCGCGCCAGTGAAGAGGTGTTTGAAATGTAGTCATCAGTGCTGGCTGCGAGCTTTTGCTTTCAACTGTTTATTATGCCAGAGAGGGGGAAGCAAGGTCATCGTTCAAGTTGCGCAAGTAATACATCTGCTTACTCTCATCACGGACTGACGACTGCCTGTACGTAGTGTGTACCTAAGAATGAATAGTTGGAGGGAAAGAAAGAGCGAACGACTGCGGGGGATACTAGGGATCAAGAGACCAACGGACGTCACGTCCCCCTCCCCCCAGACATTCTAATGACTTAAAGACACTTAAAATAGTGTGCAGATTACGTTTTAAAATGAAAAGATCCCAATCCTGTAAAATTCTTCAGTTTTATTTGTCTAATTGTATTGACCAGAGCGGAATCGACGACAGACAAATTTACAATATTACCTTTCTAAAAACTTGGGTTAAGGTTGAACACACGGTTCATCCTTAGAGAAGCGTGGCGGTGAGGAGGGGAGGGGAAGAGGGCAAAGGGGAAGGGGGAACGGGGAGGAGGTGTCTCCTCTAGCCCTCCCTCAAATTACGCTAAGCGCTCTGAAATAAATTTAAGAAACTTACCGATAGGCGATGTGTATGGCGGTTTGACTGACGTTTTATAACCCAGAAATAAGTCATTACTAATACTTGTATTATACTCAACTTGCTTCCCGCAAACCATGGCCCCTTACGGAACACTTACGCACATGAGGAGTGGCCTCTTCCTTGCTACACTTCCACTCGAAACCATCACACAACTTCTTTCGCTTGGCCAATCTTATAATCACTGGCACACAGCACACTAAAATCCTGCAGCAATCAAACTACGTTCTTGCGCCCATTCAATGACAGCCAAACACCTCCTTTGGCGCAATGCGCAAAAACCCACATTTATTCTCACCATCGTAGCACACACTCGACGCTCAAAACCCCAAAATCACAAAGAATCTGAAGAACGCACGAAACTTAATTGTACGACAGCAACGTAGCCAATCACTTCGACAGCTAACCGGACAGAAAATCACAAGTAGACAAAAACACGATTTACGTGCCACCACACACCATTACGTAATGAAGTTTCGACAAGATATTAGGGTAAAATTTCCCCCACCCATAACTTTTCGACGTCACGTTCGTGACAAATTACGAACCATTAAAATTTCCGAAATGTTAAATACATTATGTAAATACAAAATGTTAAATACAATCTTCCATGCTTTGCTTTTTACATATATATATATATATATATATATATATATATATATATATATATATATATATACACGCACACACTTAAGTTACGCATATTGCTCACCACCCCTCTCCACCGAAAGATTTCCCTCATAATCCCCTAAACACCCCTCGCCCCCTCCGCCGTGGATTTCCCCTTCACCGGAGCAGCGCGAAGTGCCGGTTTAGATGACTGCCTTGGGTTGTACCATATACTACACCTCAGCCAAAAATTGTTACATTCCCACCAAATCATTACAAATAATAAATACAAATTCTCTTCACGAGACTACGGCGCTGAAAAAATCCTCTAAGCCACGTATGCAATTCCTTCGTTTTGGAGATTTTATTTCAATTAATTGAAAAATAAAACTTAATTAATGTTACTTTTCAATAGTTTGTCAAGAACATTAAACCTAGCACACGAGACAGTTGCCGAGAGGGGGAAAAGAAAAATCAATCTATGAAATTATATTTAGGAAAACGACCAACAATCAGAAAACCCATTAAGGTCGGAAGCAACTTACTTTTTAAAAAATTAAAATATACTTACATACGTGTGTATTGTTTAATAAATGCCATACCATTTAAAGTGGTACGGAGACTTCAATGCAGTACATTATATACGTTTTGTGCGATTTGTAACTGACAGACTAGATGAACGCAAAAAGGAAATAAATTACTGCGATAAAAACGAGTGTGCGTAATTCCAGTTGTTTTTCAGCATACTCCTGAAATAAACACATTCAGAAATGGCCCTGCAGAATGAAATACAATCTCTGACACAAGGCTCACTTTGGTTGTATTCCATCGAAATATTTGCAGTAACTTGATCGAAGAGAAAGTAAAAGGTTTTTGAATGACAGTCATAATTTGAGGATTATGCACAACAAACATTTCAGATATCACAGAAGCTGTAATAATAACATCCGGGAGCGTGTCGGTTCATGAGCGAGACCACCCAACTTTCATTGTCAGTGTTCTACCTGTCATCATCAGTTAATTATTTTTCTTTGGGGATTAAATTTACCTTGAAGTAGGCAGCAACTGAAGAGCAACAAGGCAAACAACGACGTAGAAAATGACACCTTCATCGTGTCTTTTCGATTGCCTTCTTCCAGCACCTGTGATGACCTAGTAACACACACTGATCTCGGTCTCACAGCCAGCGAACCACTCTCCTGCTGACGATCACGCTACACACTGCAAGCAACAACACGAACACTGCAATTCAGCATTGCCAACTCATACAGCAGCCTGGACTCGACCTTACCACATCGAATGGTATGACATCTGTAGACAACTGTTTGGACTAACAGCGCGGTGTATATGCTTGTACCATGCTAAGAAAAAACTGATCATTTTAACTTCATATTAGTGTAATTATAGATCCACTTTTTGTTAATAATCTTTCGGTAAATTGAATGTTATACTCGTAAAAGTTCAGGAGGTGTGTTTTAATGATTTTTGTGTACTTAATATGTTTGAATAATTAATTTTTCATTGAAGACAACCTACAATTTATTATTTTTGTCCAAGCCACACAAATTATTAATTCGAGGTGATAAAACATAATAAGTGTTATTTTCTTGAGGCATTGACATTACAAAAATACATAATAATACTTTAATCCATAGAAACATTTAATTACTACTCTAAACACACCTCTCAAAATCAGAAATAGTAAAATTTCCAAAATTTGTTTATATTAAAAACCAAAGAAATGAATCCCTGATCTCTTTTCAGTTTCCAAGAAGCTTAAAGATGAATCTGAAAATTAGAAACATCCAAAATTTTGAAGTTATAAAATAGGAATGAATTTTTAGTTATAAAGGAAAGTATGTTTAAGAATATTTTGATTTACTTATTATATTGCACATCTCCTATATTATAACATAAAATAGAAAGAACAGTAGTATGTTTCTTCAAATACAGTTTATCAAATATTTGCATTAAAGTAATTAGCAAGAACTAAAATAAAAAAAAAAATAAAAAAAAGTGAAGAATATCAATTGAGTTATACCAAATTTTTAAAAAGAAAGTAATCTGTGTAGAAGTTAGTAGTTATCCACTTTTCAAGAAAAGTGAATATTGAATCTTACCTTCTTAAATGTAGTTACCGAAAGTTAGTCAACAAGTTTCATTAATATTTTTAATTTTCTTTGAAATAAATGTCTATATTGAAGAATATATTAAATTTCTTTGAAGTATTGGTAAAAAATGTACCAATAAACAATGTACCTAAAATGTTTTGATGCTGAATCTGGAAGACATTGAAAAGTAGATTTCTCTCAATTCTTTTCTCCATATCTGACTTTAAAATAATTAGAGACACTGAACAAGCACACAAGATTGACTATGAATATAGTACATATCACACAAAATGATTTTAAAGGATAAAGGTATTAAGGAAATTATTGAGAGAAATGTAAATGGAAGGTAGATAGGATACTCCAATACGGGTTTTATTTTATGTAACAATCAAAATTCATATTCTTAATTTAAATCAAAGACATGATACATATAACTTCTCAACAAAAAATAACACTAACATAACTTTGTATTACAAGGAACACTAGTTTTAAGCATTTGTGAATCCTCTGTCTTCATTCTGAACTATACTGCATGAAATTCTAATTATAAGGATAACTTGTGAAATGCAGCATTTACTAATCTTTTATTTTCCTAGATATTAATAAGATCATAAGATATTAATAAGATCATAACACATCTCAGATTATCCTGTCACAAATTAAGAAAAACACTGCTTTTCAGCAAGTTATCTAAATTTTCTTCCTTATAAATATCTGGTTGATTTTGCATTAAGGTGATGCTGTAGTGAAGTTAATCATATACTGTTTGATCTTTAACAATATATTTAATTGTTAATGACTGGATTCTAGAAAAAAAGAATGTATTGTTTTAGGGAAGTAAAATTGAAATATGTTTGAGTTAAAAATAATTTCTTGAAAAAAAGTTTTAGATTCACTTTCTGTGCATTAAGTTTATGCAGAGAAACATATACATTGAATTTTTAGTGTTAAATTGATATGTTTTTATAGTACAAACTCGAATAATCATTAAATCAGTATCAGTAAATTTAATTTTTCCTGTTCTTATGGTTCTTATGTTATTAAAAAGACATTTTTCCACAATAACAATTGTACTGAATGAATTACATGTAATGCAGTTCTAATAAAATGTCATAATATATGTTTAATTATCTGCAGTTGGGAGGAACTGTAATGCACAATTTGAATTTGAAATTCAATAAAACTTTCATACTGTACTCAAATTAATTAGTACAATGAAATGATTTACTAGAATGAAATACATACTTTCTCATCATGAACTTTTTCTTACATAAAATGCAAATGTAACAGAATTGCATTTCATTTTTTTGTTTTTGTTTTGTTTTGTTTCATTTTCACTTTGTACATTTCCTGATATTTCCATTTCTTTCCACTTACATATTAAAAGATTTAATTCACATATGTACACTGGTTTTCAGACACTTATTGTTTCTTCTTAAACATAAATTGTGCTTCCCAATCTATGGATACTGGTTTACCCTCATCAGTATGGTATTTAAACAGAAAGTCAATCATCCTCCAAGAATACTGTTGTAATTATGAATTTTATTGCAATAGTTTAAAATTTCACATTAGTTTAAAGACGAACAAATAATTCTATTTTACATGCAAGATGAGATCTACAAATTGAATAAATACTTCTTTTCTATATCAGAATTTAGAAACTTAGTGTTTCATGGATCATTTATCTATGACTCCATAACTTCACAGTCATCTCTTTGGTGGCAGCACCACATAAAAACCTGAGTTCCTCTCACAGCCATTCACAGAAAACCCTTCTGTTTGGCTTGAATACACCCTGCAAATATCAGTCATAGAGTTCTCTGTGTTTCTGTGATATACCAACCCTAACTACAATTTGAAGGAAAGTTAAAGAAATGGCTGCAATTTATCATGTCTGATTATAATGTACACATTTTAAAGTATTCTCACTGGGAGAATAAATTGTAAGTTATTGCTTGTAAGGCATATTTGTATAAATATAAATCCTTATTTTCACTATGTGGCATAACCATTTGAAAGTTTCAAAAGAATACACTAGAGCATTATATATGAAGTTCAAAGTATTTACTGCACATAATGCCATACAGAGCATATAAAAATGATATGATGCCTGTAATAATATTAGATTTTAAGAGATTAGGAGAATTAAATAAAACTTTAAAATGCAAGAAGTTCTTTCGTGTAATTTTAAATTTGTAATTGACTCTAAATTTAAGATATATTTCATATCAATGCAGAATATTAATGGTTCACATTCTCAGAGAATGTATGGCAGAATAAAAAAAATTGTTTTGTACTCTTTGTACCAGTATAAATTGACCTACAAACATTTCAAAAGAAATGTAAAGTATGAAGATGTAATTTTTATCCCTATTTTGAAAGAATGAAAACTCCAGACTAAATTATTTAACTGCTTAATAATGATCTTTTATCAAGAAAAATTCAGAAATTATTTCCATATTATTGTTATAATAAGTTATTAATTCCACCATATATTAATCCCAAATCTTATATCCCTGTGATCGAGTAGTTGAAAGTGCAGCAAGGAACATCTGTTTTAAAATTATTTTATGAATTTTTTCACAGAAATCTGAAACAGTAAGAGGAGACCCTCTGGCCTCTGCTTTCTTCCTCCCAGTTTAATTTGTTCTTCAAAAAGAGGAAGGTTTGTATCCCAGTGTTGTGTGTAGTCTTATGTTAATGACATTGAAAGGAAGTGCAAAGTGATTCCTGCCAGCACAGCAAGTTTGATCTACCAACAGATAATCACAATTCTTTCCTGTGATTTTTCTTGCAAGGTTAACTAATGCCATCTAGTGTACTGTGAAAATCAACAAAATTAATGCAGTCAAATTTATTTTGGCACAACTTGTGATTGAAATGCTCTTTTATTGGTGTTAAAGAATTAAGAAAACAATCATTGCTTAATTAGGAAATATGATTCATCACACTCAATTTGTACAGGTTTTAAAAAAGAAAAATGTAAATTATTTACCCACTGGATTTTCTTCTTCCCAACTTTCAAAATTGGATAGTAACATTTGGTTCAACAAGGTATCTCATATCACAAGATGTATCAAATATTGAAAATATATCAAATGATATCTGTGCAACATAATTATTTCATCTTTTCTTCTAGTTTTCATTATTCTTAATATTATCAATTGTACAAATTCATCAACTTGTACAGATGCAAAACAACCCTACCCCAAACCTGGACCAACCCTCTCTCACTATTTTGTGTCCCAACTACCCTCCCTATAGCCCTAAAACATTTATTGCCAATGCTAACTACACATTCTTTCTGTCACTATTGTTCATTGATCACATTCAAACTTTCCTTATTGTGACTTTCACACATTGCAACAATCAACAATGAAGTCTTCTGGAAGTTGATCATTCACTCACACTCAACCAATTCAGGCTGTTCTGAAGGTTGAGTATGTTAGAAAACTTCGTAACTCACTGGGTAGAGTTGTCATTTAACATCACAGACACAGGGGCACTATGAGTCTTCACTTTTTCAGAGTATGTTGTCCTTGCTTTGTTTCTAGGTAAGTTTGGCATACATATCCTCTATCTGTGGTTTGAAGTAGGCCTTGAGTTGTGGTCGCTTGCTTTTTAAGGTTGGAGTTAACAAGCCATTTTGCACTGAGAAAGGATCTGGATGCAGATAGATGTCTTTAACCTATCAACGAAGAAACATGTTAAAATCAGAATATTTCTTTAAAATTAATATAACAATATACAATAGAAACAAAATGTCTTTATTCATTTATTTAATTTCTCATCAGTTAATTTTTATGTAGATTCTGTAGTTTTTTTTAAAAAATCTTTTGCCCTTTTAGAGGGTAATTACAGCTATTTGGACTCAAAAAAAGCATTATGGCTATTTAATGTAACTTCCTTTTGACAATTATCAGTGGAAACTATTTCAGACATTTTTATCAGTGGAAATTATTTCAGACATTTTTCATTTATTAAAAATTTTTAAGAAAATGAAAACAATACCTGTTCGAAAGATTTGAGGCTAGCATCTTTGCCCCATCCTAACATATCATCCATAATCAACTTTTTAACCTCTGGGTTATTGCACAACACAGAAAGAGTTCCGGGAATGTGATTTTCCTGGGCCCACCCCTTCACCACTTCAACATCAGGCACCACCACTGCTACAATGCAGGACTGAAACAGATTTGTTACTATAAACAATCAGAACTAGAAAAAAATACAGGGCATTTTTTGTAAACAAATGCTAAAGCAATATTTCTTTGATAATGCTTTTTGAGTGAAGTGTCATGGAGTAGGAGTGCTTGTGATACAATTCTTGATATTTATTACCTTAGCCTCGAGGGAATGTTGGTTTTCATAATATTGGCGATTTTAAGAGGTACTCTTTCACATTGAATTACTTAAAGTGCCATTAGTCATTTCAACCCAAAAGAAAATGTCATTCAATTTTACTTTTCAAAAGAAGCCTCTATTACTATTCCACTAAATTTTGGCAGGATGCTTCCATAAATTTCTTATCCCCTTCCTGCCCCCCCAAAGCCAAAACAGTCAAAAAGTCAAAACAGCCCCCCCCCCCCAAAAAGCCAACAAAACTTCAATGAAATATGAATTTGTTTTTAGTGCAATGCACAACCTGGAAGTTTGAGGAGTCTAGAAGGCAGGGGGGATGCAACTGAGTAGTGACCAGCAGGTTTGATGTTTTCTTATAAAGAATTATGCATTTGTACTCAATTTAAAGGTAATTTTCATTTGTTCATTTATATTTACAAAATGTATGAAACCAATATATCGGAAAGTTTTCATTACTATTAAAAATATACTGATCAAATCATAAGTTAAAGTTATTGCCCATATGAAGTTTAAGCATAGAAGAACAAAAAAAAAAAAAAGAAAAAAAGAAAAGATCAAATTAATAAATATGCAAGTAACCATTGTTTTCTGTAAGTACATTTACTACAGGTTTCTGTGACCACGCTAATGCTTCAAACAGAAACAAATATCACAAAACAGACAACTTACACAAGAGCCCTGTAATTATTCCCAAGAAATCATAATAAAATTCAAAACTTACTCAGATTCAAAAAATGAAACGAAGTATATAAGCTAACTGATACAAATGATAAGTTTAATACATTCATAAATATATACTTAAAACATTTCAATTCCATTTTTCCTCAAAAACTCAAAAAGATACAAAATAAGAAAACCAAATCGTGGATTACCAAAGGCATCAAAGTGCCATGTGAAAGAAACCGCAACATGTTTAAAATACTAACAAAGTACATACATAACTCCAATTTAATTTCATATTACAAAACATAATTTGATTCTAAAAAAAGTAATCAAACAAACACAAATTATGACTTATGATAAGTATGCAAATACACACAACAAAACAAAAGCCATGTGGGACATTATTAAAAAGACTACAGCACCAACTAATAACAAAAAATATAGATCTCCACTACAAAATCCAAACTTACAAGAACCACAAGATATAGCTGATATATTCAATGAACACTTTTCACAAATTGGTAAAATGTTAATCTGCCAACATTCTCCGAACAATAAAACACACCAACTAAACACTAATGTTACACAAATTGTAAATTCCATATTTTTATATAAAACCACCTCCTCTGAAATTTTTAAAATCATAGCGCAAATGAAGAATAAGCAGGTCTTAGCAGGTCCGGACAACATTCCAGATTTTCTTATTAAACACAGTGGACAATGTAGAGTGCAACCACTCTCTCAAAAATTGTGTGGCAAAAGTGCAATTGTGCGGCAAAAATTAAACCAATGTTTAAAAAGGGCAATGGTTATGATTCACTGAACAAAAGACCTATCTTCTGCTATCAGGATTTTCAAAAATTCAATGATAGACTCGCAGTGTAGATAGCTTTTCAATGATAGATTCGCAGTGTTTCTCAATGCAAATAATGCCATCACAAATGCACAACATAGCTTCAGGAGTAATAGGTCCACAGACACAGCCATCTTCTCCTTTTTAAATGACATTCTTGTTGCACTAAATCAGAAGGAAATTCCCATTGGCCTTCTCTTAGATTTGTCAAAAGCCTTTGACATCATTGACCATCATATACTTTTAACAAAACTAGAAATGCTAGGGATCTAAGGCACTGCAGGCCAAAGGATCACATGATATTTATCAAACTGTAACCAAGTAGTTGCCCTACAGCATACAAGAAAACCAAATCTCCTCATACTACTTCTGCCCTCAGGTGATAAATTGTGAAGTCCCGCAAGGATTCATCCTTGGGCGAATACTATTCCTTAAATACATAAATGACATACCTTGGGATTTAAGGAAAAACAAAATAATTTTGTTTGCAGAAACAAACAATCATAAAGCAAAAATAAAACAATCATTAGAAAATGAAACTCAGAATACCTTGCACACACTAGTAAAATGGTTTCAAGAAAACAAATTCATCATAAACACCAGCAAGAAAGTCTCTCTAAATTGCATAAATTCCCGATCCAAAGAAAAACTCTCATAGCATTTGCTCACAAATAATAACCATGTAATGATATCTCATGAAACTACTTTCCTCAGCCTAACAATTCAAGAAAACATAATATTTGAGATATGAACATTCCATTTTAACAAGCAGCTTACCCAATCTCGCTATGCCCTATACACCCTCTGGTCAAGCTCCAACTTTTTACAATGTATTTTGAAAATGTGCACTCACACTTAAAATATGGAATAATATTCTGGGGAAATGCCCCTGAAAGTGCTCGCACATTTATTATCCAAAAAAGAATACTCCGAACAATGACCAGCACTCATAAGCTGGAGTCTTGCAAACTCTTGATCAAAATAAACTAAGGATTCTTCATCTATCATGCATGTATATATTAAATAGTAATCTTCACAAAGAAGATTCTCATAGAAAACAAAGAACCTTGTACTCTAAATTCTGATGTACACAACTACAATACTCGTCAAAAGGATAGCTTACATGTTCCCTACTCTGAAACTGCACTTAATTTAAAATGTACCCTAATGGAGGGTATTTACAACAAACTGGGCAATCATATTAAAGACATAACACAATTCATACATTTAAAAGTAAATTGAAAGCTTTCCTGCTTAAGAACATGTTCTATAGTGTGAAATAATATTCAAATCACAACAATACTTCCCTTTAAAAAATATAAATAAATAAAAATTCTTATCCCATTTGACTTTCTGTTTCATGTTGACTGTTTCAAGCTGAAGCAAAGAAAAATTAACTGGCATATCCCATCCTGTCATGTGTTAAATTGCAGTTGGACCAATGTAAATGGAAAATGCCTCACCAAAATTTCTATTTCCTTCACCCTGGATTTGCTAGATGCATTTGGTTCTGCAATAATGTAGAAATAGAAAAAAACCTACCTCCTACTCTTCATCATTTCAAGATTTAAACACAGAATGTACTAATACTGTTAAATTAAATGTAGTTGTTACCGTAATTGATATCATGTACTACTTTTAATATTGTTGTTGTTGTTATTATTATTGTTGTTGTTGTTATTAATGTTGTTTTTATTATTGTTGTTGTCGTTAATGTTATTGTTGTTGTTATTATTATAAGTAGTAGCAGTAAAATGACAGTAACAAGTACTTCAATTTTACTTCAAACATGAAGCAGTATAAATCTTGAAATGTTCAATTATTTTGCTACTAAAAATAATTATCTACTGTATAAAATATTAAACTATCTGTAACAAGTATTGTAGTATAATTTGTAGGCCAATGACCCCATCTCAATCAGGTTTTTGTCCAGTATCCCTGGTCCCTTGAGCAAATGATGAGATGGCCCTTTGTTTTGCTTCTGGACAGAAATGTAAATTTGATCTTTCCATCCAAGACATCACATTGACTTGTCACATACAATTGTAATTGTATATGCGAATTAATTAAATATTATTACTAATTTCCAATTCATGCAGAAATTGAAAGAAAACTACATAGTCAATGACTCTGTGGATGATATCCATGGTTTCTTTACACAGCCAGGAGCTCAGAAAAATTCCCAAAACAATGAAACAGTTTCAATTTTGAGTGACAAATGCAAATATTTAAATGCGTTATTCAACCTATTCTTATAATGCATGTACCAAGTGTATCCACATATTCAGGCATTACTGCTCACAACACTGCTGATGTCATGTGACATCAAGGCTCCAAGAAAGAGGTCATCTGCTCTTAAATATTTGCTATTTGCATGTTGCATTTTGGAACTGTAATTTTTGTGATATTCTTGGAATGGAAAGAAATGTTATATTGTATTTCCATATATACTGTACTATGTTATTGCAGTATTTGTGAAGACTGCATGTATTTAAATATTTAATTTATTATAGTGTTATGTGAAAGTATTTTGTTTGTTGTTCTTAAGTTGTGTGTGTGGTACTACATGGAAAACTGTATGGATTTGTTTGGCAGAATTTTTGCTACTGCGGGCCTCTAGTAATAAAAAATCAGTAAAATCAAAGAATGCTCATCATCCTAAACTCTGAAAATAATCCAATACTTTTTAATATGTTTAATCCCTTCACTCTTAGTACTTCCTAACTCTTTATTTATTTCTCACGTACATGCTAAAGATACAAAAGCAAGAGCAACTACTACTATGACATTTGTGATTAATACAGAGTTTTGGAATTTAAATTGAGTCAATTTCAATTGAGAATGCTTTCTCCTTATAAAAACATGAGACCTGTGGAGTTTTTTATTACTAATTCTAGGCAAATCAAATAGTAAATTTATTTTATATGTAATAGATCAGGAATGTGAGAAATAAAAATTATATTTATTATTTGTTTTTATAAATCAAACTTCCTAGAAGAATAAAATAAATTTTACAGAAACAAAATCGGAAAATGAAAAGATGGTTTTCTTACTGACTTCAGCAAATTTCATGTCCTGAAGAGAAAAGCCTTACCTTCAGAGATTCGCCCACCACAAAAACTTGTTGGACATACTGACTGCGAATATAAATGTTCTCAATTTTTTCTGGCACAATATATTCTCCCTGTGAAAGTTTGAATATATGCTTCTTTCTGTCAATTATCTTCAGAGTTCCATTCTGAAAATATTTTAAATAGGAAATAGTTAATGATAATTTTGGGGAATTCCTAAATTGTATTATAATATACATTTAAAACTATCTTAACAAAACTTCAATAGTGATATTTTCCAAATGTCAGTTGTAAGCTTAATTAACATCTCAATAGACATTCAAGAATTATCACTTTCAAAGTCCCAAACTAATGTACACTTTTTTAATCCATTAAAACATTTTTTATCTTTAAACATTTTCATTTGGATTTTATTCATGATCATTCTGACTTTTATACAAATGAAGAGAAAAGTGATATTTACATTTAAATTGAATCATATATTTTACACATTTTATCTATTTCTTTCATTAAAACTCCATCCATTGTTCACTTTTGAACAGTTATTTAGACAGTTATGGAATTTGTATAAGGTAATTTGTAATAGATTTTGGATACATACTGCAATAAAACCGACATTGTCACACTCACCGGAAGCCACATTCCTACATCTCCAGTATGATGCCATCCATCACTGTCTATGGTCTCCTTGGTTTTGTCTTCAGCTTTATAATATCCTTGGAACACATTGGTGCCTTTTACACAGACCTCTCCCTGGTTGTTGATTGCATAATATTCCATTTCAGGCACATCTACTAATTTGATGCAACAGCAAGCCACTGGTGGGCCCACATGCTCAGGAACATGATCACCTTGGACAGTTAATGAAATAGGAGCACAACATTCTGTCTGTCCATATCCTTCCACCACCTGCAATAGTAGAAAGTATTCAATGATTCATTTCAGGAAGAGTGCAATGGTGATTTGGTGTCAGAGAAGAACAATGTTTACAAAATGGGTGGTGTAATGGGAATAATTCATGGATAACATAGATAACATTATCAAATGTTCATGTTCAAAAGCATGATTAATAAGGTAACAATATTAAACACAAAATTTTAATGTCTTTTTGTGCACTAAATTATCCTACCTTATAATTTTATATTGTGAATAAAATATTTTTTGTTTACTGTAAAAATGTCTCGATGTTTGTTCTGAGTAGGGTAACTACAATGTCACTAACACCATCAGATATTTGGGTGTGGTCATATCACATATTAACCCTTCAAAGTGGAGCTTCTGTTGGATGCAGTAGCATTACAACATGAGTGAAGGAAAAGTGTATGTTTCACCATAGAAGCAGGTGGCCAGCTCAGTGTCCTGCTATGTTGATCTTCTATTTCTACACATTCCCAAAACAGAGAAAAATATTTACTTATCTAAGTACAAATACCCATGATTACTGGCCCATGTTATCTCAAGACAAATTCCACGATCAAGAGTTAACTACTTTGCCTCACTCTCCCTATATGGGATGAAAGCGAACAATTTATAGAGTATTCAATTTACAACAGGCAACATGTGGTGTAGGGATCACACCAATCACCTTCCACCTTGGTACTAAGTTTCAAATTCTGGTCTTTCCATGTGGAATTTGTGGTGGTCAAATCAGGTTCACTGATGGTTTCATCCTACTTCCCCTGTCTAGTTTTCCACCGTCTCCATCATGCTTTACCATTATTTGATTGTCATCTCCTTATTACTTTTGTAATCATCTTTGAATTTTAAAGTGCTTTGAGGCCTGAGTAACTTGGCCGCAGAACACTGAGTAGTCCTTGAACTCTGTATAGTCCCCACACACCACACCATACAAATAGCAATAATAATTGGCACTGCCTGTTGCTACTAAAATGATGAAGTGCTTAAAAACAACAACAACAAATGATGATGTAATTAAAATTCATGAATTTAGAGAATAAAAGTTATTCCTTTCAACTTTTCACTTTCATTAACACCACTTCAAATTTTACACAGAACAAGTTGGTATTCAAACTTCAGTTGTCTGTGATAAAGTGTTGAAAGTAAAGAAAGGTTGAGTATACTAACAGCGTCATCTTGAGTCATCAGAAAGATTTTAAATATTTTCCCGTGAAAGGGGATATTGGAGATGCAATCATCATTGTACTGAGATTCTTTGATCTACATGATGCTATGAAAATGTGAATGTGAAGATGGCAATGACCAACAAGTAGAAACCTATCTTGTAAGTTCATTCCCTTCTATCTATTTAAGTTTCGTTATTGTCAAGGGTTAAAGACGCTCGATGCTCTGTGACGTCATAAAAATCTGCTCTCCGAGTCGAGCCGCGGAGCAAGGCTAGTGCCCAAGGCAGCGGCGGGGCATTCAGCGGTGTTTCAACGATGGTAGGAAGTGTGGGGAAAACGCTCGCTCGATAATTACGTTCTAAAATATAATTCATATTCAAACGTTTACGATTCAATAAAAATATGAAAAATGTCTAAAATAGAACATTGATTATTTCATAACTCAAAGTAATATATGACTATCGTAACCAGTACCTGCAATTTCACTTCTATTCTTTAAATACATTACATTTTTTGGAAAAGACAGTTTTAACATTTTAGAACAATACTATTTTATGTAATTTAACAATTTTAGTTCGTCCCAAAGCAATAATTAATGATAACAAACAGATACAAAAAGATTTGGGGCGTCTGTCTGTCCATCAGTCCGCCATTCACGGTTAGACCCCTTCCGGTCCGTCAATCGAGACAATGATGAGTTGATTCGAAATTTATTAACAATGCAAAGTATGAAACGTCAGTAAATACTATAAAATATAAATTCAGTAATATCATATCATCTTAACATTCAGTCACGTCATGATCAATTTAGAAAGATAATTGTCAGTTATCTAGTCTT